GAGGCTCTGAGTGAGGCTTTGGCCCGTCCCCTGATCTCAGCACAATGCAGTCCCTCCTGCTGCTCCTGGCGGCCTCCGCCGCTTTGGCGCCGGAGCCCTACTGGTGTGCAGGGGTAAGGTCCGTAAGGTTCTCACTTTGAGCCGAGCCGAGGTCGGATGTGACGCCTGTGCAGAAGGTTGTCCAGCTCCTGGAGAACATGAAGCTGAAGGGCACCACGGAAATGCAGGAGGAACAGGTTCAGTACACGAAGTACAAGCAGTTCTGTGAGATGACCTTAGCCGAGAAGAAGGCTGCCATTGGAGAGGCAGCGGACAAGATCGAAACGCTGGAGGCGGACATCGAGAAGGCGGACGCAGAGGCAGAGCGCCTCACTAAGGAGATGTCTGAGCACGCCGCGGACATTGAGGCTGCCACGGCGGAGAAGGAGAAAGCCACCTCGGTGCGGAAGAAGGGCCGTGAGGACTTCCAGCTGACTCTGAAGGACTACAGCGAGTCCATCGATGCAATCGGAAGGGCCCTGAAGGCTCTGAAGGAGGAGGACAAGAAGACAGCCCTGCTGCAGCTGGCCAGCGCCAAGCTTGTCCCCGAAGAGGCACGGCTCGAACTGCTAGATGCGCAGGGCCCGGCACCCAAGACCTACGAGTTCAAGTCGGGTGGCGTGATCAGCATGCTGGAGGGTTTGCAGGACAAGTTCGTGGACGAGCGCATTAGCCTGGAGAAGGAGGAGCAGAAGAAGCGCCACACCTACGAGATGTTGGCGCAGAGCTTGGATGCGCAGCTTGCGCAGTCTAAGAAGGAGCAGCAGGAGAAGGGCCAGTTTAAGGCCAAGCAGCTGCAAAGCAAGGCCTCGTCCGAGGGCGACTTGGATGAGACCAAGGGCGAGAAGAAGTCCGACGAGAAGTACTCTGCAGATTTGGAGGCCACGTGCAGCAAGAAGGCTGCGGCCTTTGCTGAGCGTCAGAAGCTCCGCAAGGAGGAGATCGAGGCCATCGAGAAGGCCAAGGGCATCATTGCAAGCGGTGCCGTGGCTGGCAGTGCAGAGAAGCATTTGCCCAGCCTCTTGACCACCAGGACCTCTGCTTTGGCCTTCTTGCGCTCAGAGCCCAGGGAGCCTCCCGCGGAGCGCGTGGCGCGCTTCCTGCAGCAGCGGGCCGCGGCCCTGAACAGCCGAGTGCTCTCGGCCGTGGCTGGCCGGGCCGGCGCCGACCCCATCGCTAAGGTCCGGACGATGATTGAGGGGTTGATCACAAAGATGCAGGCGCAGGCCAATGAGGAGGCCACCAAGAACGGTTGGTGCAATGCCGAGTTGGCTTCCAACAAGGCCACGCGCGAAGAGAAGGCCGACGAGGTGGACTCCTTGAATGCGGATGCAGACGAGCTCTCCACGGCCATCAGCAAGCTGGACGAGGAGGTGGCTTCACTGGCCAAGCAGGTTTCAGAGCTGGATGCTGACATGGCCAAGGCCACAGAGATGCGGCAGGAGGAGAGCAAGAAGAATGCTGCCACCGTGAAAGATGCCACTGAGGCACAGGCGGCGGTTGCACAGGCACTGCTGGTGCTCAAGGACTTCTACAAGAAGGCTGCAGGTGCCACCTCACTGGTGCAGACGGCCAAGTCTGCAGCGGAGCCGGAAGTCTTTAGCGACGAGCCGTACAAGGGCATGGGCGGCGAGAGTGGCGGCGTGATCTCCATGCTGGAGGTCATCCAGAGCGACTTTGCGCAGCTGCAGGCAGAGACGGAGGCTGCCGAGGAGGCAGGGCTCAAGGAGTACCAGGAGTTCATGGAAGACTCCAAGGTGGACAAGGCCACTAAGGTCAGGACCTCGGAGCACAAGGTCAGCAAGAAGCAGGCGAAGGCTCAGGAGCTCACATCTGTGCGTGCCGATCTCCAGGGCACCCAGAAGGAGCTGGACGCTGCAAACGCCTACTTCGAGAAGCTCAAGCCCGACTGCCTGGACACGGGTGCCTCCTACGCCGAGCGCCAGGAGCAGCGAAAGCAGGAGGTCAAGGACCTCCAGGAGGCGCTCGAGATGCTCGAGAAGGTCTAAGTGGACAGGGCGTCATGCGCTGCAAATAATACATGGGCGAATGCACCGGTGGCTACAACGCGCCCCAGCATGGCCCCCCCTGGCCCCACTGCGCGCTGTTAAGTCAAAGGCACTGATACAGCGACAATTGGACCAAAACATCCTGCTGCTGCGTGTATGCAAGGTAGATTACATGCCTTCTAGCCTAGGAATATGGTCATGTAATGTTGCACGCGCTCAAGCTCGGACTGGAATGCGTGCCACTTGTTCTGCCAGATTGGTTGGTTTCCAAGTATGGCTGAATCTGCTTTAGTGCCAAACACATGCTGTCCATCATGAGCTGGCACTTGCAAAGGCAACATCATCAATGGTGCTGCAGCAGACGATAGAATAAATGGATTCCATAGAACGTCAGCAGTTGGTGCAAAGGCCTTTTTTGTTGTGTCCATGACTTTGCATAGCATGTCCTCAGTCACCGCTCGTGGGCATCGTATCGCTCTGCCATTGCTGGTAGCAACAATCTTTCGCACGAAGGAGCGAGGTACATGTGGTAGTCTGCAGGCTAGTTGCGAAGCGTGTAAGAACCCATCTCCCTTTGATACCGCCGGCAGCTGCACGTCTGTGTGCTGGATGCAGGAGTTGCTGCTCGCTGGCATGTGCTCAAAGCAGCTTCCACGCCTCATCACTCTGGCAGGGGCCTTGGCAACCTGCTTTCTGGAGCAGTCCAGTGCAACTCCGCAAAATGCATGCAGGACAGCACCGGCACCTTAATCCGAGTTCGAAGACCCATTGGAGACTTGTACGCGGATGCTCTGCGCAGGGTCAGACCAGATGTTGAGGCTCCGAATGTCTCTAATATTCAGCGTTGAGTGAGTTGCCACGTGAACTGCCGAGCTGGCAGGTGTCTGCTTCGGAAATGACGAGAGCCTTCCCAACAGCCTTCTCCCGGCAGTCCTCGATCTCCCCAAGCTTCGGAGCTGATGACAGCGGCTGCCGGCATTGGTGGTCTTTCATCAGCACTTTTCCAGCATCCTCTGCACGTGGTGAAGTCTGCGTTCGTGCAAGGCAGGCTGTCGTGGAAGGCACTATGGCAGGCTGGCAGCTCGGTATAGCCAGAATCAGCTTACTGCAGCGCTGCGTGACTGAGCCAAAAACAGCTGAGGGGCTGGTATCAAGGTTTCCGGGCTGGGCACGTCCTTCGAAGCTGTGTTTGATGACCTGTACACCAACGTCTTTTGCGGAGAGGACTGCATGTACCTCTATGCTTTACTATGATTATGATGCTTGATGTGGACCTGATCTGCCTTGGAGCTCTCTCCGTTTTTATGCCGGGTTAACTTGGCATCTGCATCAGATTTGCGATGTAGATTTAGTCGCGGGCTTGCATTTTTGCCCGGATGTGCTGCAAGGTTTTTTTGCGCAGAGCTTTTAGGATTATTCTGATCCTGGCCTTAATCTGCAGGATGCTTGGGAGCTGTTGCCAAACACGGCCACATCTTTGGCGTCTCGCTGCACTTGTTAAGGATGTATGCTGTTTTGGCGCTGTACTTGGCAGCTACAGTTTCTTGAAGAATTTGATGTTCTGTCAAGGAATCTCTCCGGTCATGGTGCTCTGCAAACGACTGCCAGCTGGGTGTGATGTCAAATATGGACAGCAGGCAGCGACCCCTTAGTGTGACCCGGCTAGTTTGGCAGTACCTCGTGAAACCAGGCTTTCCACGATCCTTCAAAGTTTGGGGATCTTGGACAAGTTTGACTTCGTGTTGACATCCTACGAAGCGAGAGCAGTGCCTTGGCAGAGATATTTGAATGCATTGCCGGACATACGAAAGTGACCTGCGGCAAGGACAAGCCCTCACCTGTCATCTTTAAGAAGGCCAGCGGGTCTTGATTTCAGATTTTGAGAGAGCAGTGGCACCTGTTCCGTAGTGTGCTTTGCAGGCCCTGGAGAAGGCTGGTCTTCCGCCATCATCCCATGCCCTGCATTGTGGGGATAGCTTCAAGGCAGGGTTTTGCTCAGTGGCACGGCTGGCAATCTTGCACTCAATGCCTGAAACCCCTCCAGCGCGACGTGGCTGGAGCCATCTTCATGAACTGGACGGCGGTTTTAGTCGATGGGCGTGTGGACGAGGTTCCAAGCTGAGATGTGAGGCGCCCGTCGGACCTGGTGATGAGCACCTGCCAGGTGAAGCCGCTGGAGCCAACAGAGGCATCACCGGGGTGAATTCTGGCACTCAGTTGCAAACTTGATGCGGAATGCCAGACCAAGCACTGGGCATCTTGAGGACTGTAATTTCTCTGTGCACGGTGATGTGCTGGCAATGAGAGTTCCTCACATTGGACACATCGAAGGCGCGTTTTGCAGTCAACAAGCAGCCGAGCAATCTTAGCGCTGACGGCACTATAGTTGACTTTGTAAAACTTCTGTTGCTCCAGGTCTGCTGGCTGGCTGATCTGGTGGTGTCTTTGCCGCGCGTTGTTGAAAGATGCAGGCTTGCACGTCCTTTTCGAGAGCCGCACTGTGTACGGGTGCTCGGTAGAGGATTGCAGAGTCATGCATCTTGTCCGTGCCTGGCTTCTCAGTAGCGGGACTGTGAGTTCAATAGCACTTTCAGACTTCCCTCACCCCATTCGCAATGCAGCGCCTCCTCTTTTTGGTGGCAGCATCTGCTGCTCTGGCGCGCGAGGCTCAGAGGAGACGGGGGATTAACAGTGTTGATGCTATTTCACTGCTGTTTGCTTGTCTGCCAGGTCAGATGTGACTCCTGTCCAGAAGGTCATCCAAATGCTGGAGGACATGAAAGAGAAGGGCAAAAAAGAGATGGAGGCAGAACAGGTCCAGTTCGGCAAGTTCGATCAATTCTGCGAGATGACACTAGCAGACAAGGGCCGCTCAATCAGCGACGCGGCAGATGAGATCGAGAAGCTCGAGGCGGACATCCAGCAGGCAATCTCTGAAGCGGAGCGACTGACTAATGAGATCGCTGCTCACGGGAGCGACATCGAGTCTGCTACCACTGAGAAGACCGAGGCCACCGCCCTCCGTGAGAAGGACACCCTGTCTCCATTCTTAAACCCTTAGCGCGACCCTCAAATGCAGTTGCAAACCCTCAAACACAACTCCTCTAGCGCGAGAGGTGCTCTCAGAACCCTACTCAACTCGGAGCTCTACGGGCCCCAAACCCAAAAGAACCTGTTGTTCTGTGAGAAGGAGCGTGGTGAGTTCCAGGCCACGCTGCAGGATTACACTGAGTCGATTGATGCCATTGGCCGGGCGTTGAAAGCCTTGAAGGAAGAGGACAAGAAGACTTCCTTTGTGCAGCTGACAGCTGCCAAGAGCTTGAAGCTGATGCCCAGCGATGCCGTCGACAGCATTGATGCCTACTTGAATGCCAACAAGCCTGACAAGCCGAGCTTGATCATGGAAGGATCTGCGGCTGCCAAGCCCGAACCAAAGACCTACGAGTTTCAGTCTGGAGCTGCGATCACCATGCTGGAGACCCTGGCCGACAAATTTGTCGAAGAGCGCAACAAGCTTGAACAGGAGGAGCAGGCAGGGTTGAGTGGGGCTTGTAGAAGGGTGCGGAGGACTTTCTAGCTGTGAAGTGTCTTCTCCCCAAACTGTTCAACTGGATCGTTTGTGTTGGCCTAGGCGAAGCGCCACGCATTCGAACTGCTGGCGCAGCAGCTGACAGCCCAGTTGGCACAGTCCAAGAAGGAGAAGAAGGAGAAAGAGCAGTTCAAGGCCAAGAAGCTGCAGAGCAAAGCCTCCTTCGAGGGTGACCTTGCAGAGACAAAGGCTGACAAGGAGGCCGATGAGAAGTACTCTGCAGATTTGAAGGCAACATGCCAGAAGAAGTCTGCAGCCTTTGAGGAACGTCAGAAGACACGGAAGGAGGAGATCGAGGCTGTCAGTAAGGCTCAAGAGATCATTGCCAGCGGCTCTGTGTCTGGCAAGGCGGAGAAGCACCTGCCCAGCCTTCTGCAGAGTGCAGGAACCGGCGCCGCGCTTGCCTTCCTCAGGTCGGAGAGCCACTCGCCAAAGCAAGATCAGGTTGCACGATTCTTGCAGCAGCAAGCCACTTCCCTGAACAGTCGCGTGCTGTCGGCCCTGGCAGTGCGTGTGGGTGCTGATCCGCTTGGCAAGGTGAAAAAGATGATCGAGGCTCTCATCACCAAAATGAATGACCAGGCAAAGGAGGATGCTACAAAGAACACCTGGTGCGTCACAGAGCTGGCCACCAACAAGGCCACACGGGAGGAGAAGACGGACACATCTGAGTCCTTGCAGTCGGAAATCGACACCTTGAAGGCCTCCATTGCCAAGCTTACAGATGAAAGCAACACCCTCACCAAAGAAATCTCTGAGCTGGACTCCGCCATGGCCAGCGCAACAGACCTGCGCAACAAGGAGGCAGAGAAGAACAAGGTTGCCATTGCAGATGCCAAGGAAGCGCAAGCAGCTGTGGCCCAGGCCCTGACGGTTCTCAAGGAGTTCTATGCCAAGGCTGCTGGAGCAACTTCGTTGGTCCAAACTAGCTCTGCCAGCTTGCATGGTCAACCCGAGATCTTCGGCGATGAGGCCTACACCGGCATGGGCGGCGAGAGCGGTGGCGTTCTGGGCATGATGGAGGTCATCGAGAGCGACTTCGCCCGTCTGGAGGCAGAGACCACCGCTGCCGAGGAGGCCGGGAAGAAGGAGTATGATGAATTCATGGATGACTCCAAGGCGGATAAGGCGGCCAAGGACATCTCCTTGAAGCAGAAGACGACCAAGAAGAACACTCAGGCGCAGGAGCTAAGCACGCGTGAGAATGACTTGGAGGGAACCCAGAAGGAGCTGGAGGCTGCAAACGCCTACTTAGAGAAGCTGAGGCCGGAGTGCATTGACACCGGTGTGGCCTACGCTGAGCGCAAGGCCCAGCGTGAGCAGGAGATGAAGGACCTCCGCGAGGCATTGGACATGCTCAAGAACCTCTGAGGAGAAGGCACCTGAACCGGGCCAAGAAGTCCCGCATTTTATGGGGCCAAATGGACTTGCCGCCCTGCACGGCTCCGAATTAGAGCAGTTCTGCAATTGTTGCATTGTACTGTACTCCTCTTTTCACGGCTGGAACCGTGGCTTTGGCTCAAGGCGGGAGTGCCTTGGGGGGGTCCCTGGGCGCGCGGCGCGGGGCGCGCGACGGGAGAGGCACTGCATGAGCTAAGTCGATAGAGTCGGCTGTGGGTGTGACTCCACCTTTCTCAGGTATTATGCAGCAGTCAGGGCACCTGATTTGCACTTGGTTTTGCCGTGCTTGGAGCAGCTTTGATGTCAGTCTTTGACAAGGCATGTCCCTGGGCTAACGGACAGCTCACTGCTGTGATGTGTGTAGCACAGCCGGTATTCCACGCATTTTATGTGGCAACATTTGCAGGTATTCTGTGATACTATGCAACGTTTGCTCAAGATGTGCTGTTGGAAGTTTTGCTGGCAGGACCGGCGATACGAGGGCGTTATTGCAACGTACCGGGGCGATAAAGGCTTTGGATTTATCAGGCCGGCGATTGCATAGGTGAAGCCTGGTGTGATGAGTCAACGTTTCGATGTGACTCTGGCATGCCTACTCCAGCAATGTGAACATCACGTTTCGGCATGTCAATTCGCGTGCCCATGGCGCGTGGTCCGACCAGTCGGACCTATCTTTCCGCATCTGGCAGTTGCAGCTGATTGCAGGTGTTCAGAGCTACGGCAAAAATTCCCCGAGAAGGAGGGTGTTTTCGTGTACTCATCACGGCCATGGCACTTGTAAGTTTTGTAGACGATGTTGACGTGCTGAGCTCGAATAGGCTATCAACATGTACAGCATGCAAGCATTGCTGGACCGTCTTAGTATTTAGCGACTATTGAATTGCAGCTGGTGGATCCTGATTAGAGGACGTGTTCCTGCATGGGAAGCAGCTGGGCGCCTTCAAGGAGGGCGACGCTGTCTCTTTCGCGGTGCGCCAACCATAGCTATGATGTCAGGAAGAGTTTCAGGTTGCATTTGAAGTAAAGCAAGTTCAGGACTGGTGTTACAACAGAAGGCTAGTATTTGACGGGAGCGACCCGCATTTGTTCTGGATTTCGTCAGCTGAACGCGACTGCCTGTGCCGTCAGATATTTCTCAACAGAGACGGCAAGCCGCAGGCAACAGAGTCGAAGCCTTAGCCAGCCCTGAGTATGTACAAACCAGCAAGCGATTTGTGATGAATGCCATTGGTTTTGATTCTTTCTGCATGTGTCTGACACCTTGTCTGACTGAGTCTGGTTCACTTAAACGGCGACGGCATGCAGCAGCATCAGCAGCAGCCGGGCATGCTGCAAGGCATGCAGATGCACCAGCAGATGCAGCAGGGCATGCAGCAAATGCAGCAAGGAATGCAGCCTTGCATGGGTCTGGAACTCGGTGCATCGCTGCATCTAGGCCGATTGTTCAAGTGATGGGCTGGCAATCTCAGGCCATCCGCATGCGCAAGCAGGGGCCTTACCATGCTAAGTTCTCACTCCCGTGCCCGACTATGACAATGTCTTGGCCTGGCGTGGTCGGTGTGAGCATAGTGAAATCCCAGGCAGGCAACATGATGGCTCCAGTCCCACCACCGCCTCATCAGGCACAGCCCTTTCCAAGCCTTCCAAGTTCTTGTGAGCGGAATGCGGCATTTACCATGGGGCCGCTGAGTGCTGTCATGTCTTGCACCATGTGCTTTGGCAAGCCTGAGCGTCAAAGCGCCAATCCTGATTAGTCTACTATAGTTCACAAAAGTTTACTAACCCACAGTCTACCATGCTATAGTATTATGGTTCCTTCAGGCTTCAGACACTCAAATGTAATTCATGCCTGATATTCCAGTGAGGCCGTGTAACTCAAGCTCGGGTCCTCCGCAAGCATTTCTGTGGAAGTCAAAGCAGGGGTACCTTGGGGGCCCTAGACTTGTTATGCGCAGCATAGTCAGCCCAGAAGAGCGCAACGATACGGCCAATGTCAAAGCTGCTTTGCAGGCAACGCTTCTTGAGGAGGACGTGCAAGAGGTGGAGGCTGCTTGTTCATTGAAGCGTTTCATCTCAGATCTGGGAGCACCAGACTGGGGTTGCAGCAGAACGTAGAGCAAGTTCTAAAGCGCTCGTTGCTGTTGCTGTAACAGATGCGAAAGCCATTGAGTGTTTTGGTATTTATCTTCTCCACCTGGTGAGCTTTCAGCTTTTTGCAGGTTCCTAAAGAGTTCGTCGCGAAGCTGACGGGCGAGGGAGGCCGCAAGACAGAGAGCTTCTTCTTGCAAATTCTGCAGCCCTTCGGAAGTGAACAGTGGCCTGGGCAGGACGATTGCATGAGCTGAAGCATATGGCTGGTGGAGACATCAGCATCACCTTTCAGGAGTGGCTTGTTGCATTCAAAGGGAGTTTAGTTGTAAGCCAGTCTTGCCAGACCCGGCCCGAGCTGGTCAACAAAGCAGTGGCCGTCATCCGGGGCCCAAAGGTGTGGCTGCGTGTGCATTGCACTGACATTTCTGCTTTTTTTTTCTTCGACGTGAGGCTAGCGCGAGCCTTGGGGCCATTCTGGTAATGCAAGAACTCAGCGAGCTCATTCAAATACCAGTTTGCAGCTGGGCTTGATTGATGCCTATGGCTCATTTTCTTTCTTTTCACCTTGCCTCTCTCTCTCTCCCTCTCCTTTACTTATCTCTCCCTCTTGCTCCCTTCTAATCTTGGTCAAGGCTCTTTTCTTGCAATTGTCATATACGGCCGTCTTCCTGCGGAAGTGTCTTCTTCTGCCATTGCCCTTTTTTCGCTTTCCTCGGTCTGTCTGCACGTCTGTCTGTCCATTCATCTACCCAGCCAATAATGCATTTGTTTTCTCATGCGACCAAGGACTGGAGTTTGCTGCGGTTTGCATGCCGGACTTGGCAAGGTAAGCATCAAACTAATGATCGTAACATCACGCGGAATTGCAACAGAAGCAACCTGTAACCATCACGTACTGCCAGACCTAACATTCCAAAAGACCTCGCCAATTGTTGCAATGCCACGTGTTCCTTCGACATTTCTGGTGTCTGCCCATTTTGATCTGGGGCATTTCGCCAAGAAGTTGCGATAATGTGCTCCAACCAACCTGGTTTAGTTGGCTGCGGTGGACGTCCTGGCATTGGAGCTTCAGAGGATGCTGCCCCGCCTGCAATCTGCCCATATAGCCCAGCCCCAAGTCAATGGCAGACCCAAGTACGGTCGGCTGTCTCCCCAAGTTGCCAATGAAAACTTCAGACCTGTGCTCCGAAGCCGCTGTGACTAGCTTTGACGGGAGCTGCCGGCCAGTGACATCCAAAAGGGCGTGCCCTGTGCGCCTCACTGAGTTGGATGTTACGGACGTGCAAGAGCACCTGAGCCTTTGCCCTGCAGCCATTCTGGGCCCGCAATGATCATACACAGAAGTTGCAGATGCGTGTTGGCGCAGGATCTGCATCTCAAGAGCAGGTTGCTGCAGCCAATAGTATAAGACTGCACTTCATGCTGCCAAAGAGTATGCGTTTACTTTAGCACATTGGGGGTACCTGCAACTCAGAGCGAGCAATGGCATGATGGCAAGAGGCACCCCTAGTGGCCTTCTGATGTGATGCATGTCGTGTAGGACGTAGGATGCCAGCCAGATTACCGAGCTCTAGTTGTCGTTGCCGTGCGCATGCGGCTCATGCCTAGTCCACGAGGTAAAGTCTGAGTTCAATTCCACCGCGGCAGTATACTAAGGAATCATCCCCATTGGAAGCCTGACCACGTCCCTACCAAAGAAGCATGCCCAAGAAGGACGCTCCCCAACGCCAAGACAAAGCAAGCTCATTTGATTGCAAAAGAGAGTAATACCACCCGAAGGTCGCAACTGTGGAGGGTGGGCTTCCCAGTTGGACCTGGCAGATGCAGGAGTTTAGGCTACAGCATATATAGGAATAATGAAAATAAAATGGAAAGTACTATAACTAGGGTATGTTGGGGGTATGTAGTATAGGGATAGTGGAAAAGAAAATGCAAACTATGATAAACAGGGCTGACAGCTTTGAATGCAATTAGTTCCACTTCCTGGGTTAAAGCAGCGGAAGCTCCGCAAGCACCAAATGGCGTCGGATTCCCCTGCATAGCGCGAGAGAAAGAATGAAGTAAAGCTTCCCCCATCCTTGGCTACTGCAGACTTCCTGCCCCTTTTCAGGAAAGTGTAGGTCCGCCGGGAAAGCCAAAGTAGTTTCCATTTTCTTTTCCACTATCCCAATATAACCCTATATAACCCCTATATAATCCCTATCTACATAATCCCCATAGTAGACTACTCTACATATTACATTTTGCTGCTAACCTGATGCAATGCCCTTTCGCGCAAGTTTTGGACTCAGCAGGATCAGTCCGTAGAAGGTTGAGATGCTATGCACTTCTTGGCGAGAGCTGTCAGAGCCGCGCCCAGCTGGGTTGACAGGACAGTGATCTTATGGGTTCTTAGTAGGAAATAGTGGCCCCTTGCTGATTCGGAATCCTATCGAAATTTCCGGAATCAAAATGGATATGGAGTCATTTTTGAAAAAATGATGGAATATGCTTCGTACATAATCCCAATATGCCAACATGATATATTCCCGGATTCCCTTGTAAGAGCCAGTACGTGATTGTCTGAGCTGGCCCGAGCATCGACGAGGCCAAATTAACGGTGGAGCTGAAAGTTACAATATCAGTCTTTGAGTTGTGCCAACTTAGACTATGTTGCCCATGTCAGCACAATGAAGCAAGGAAAGGTGCATGTCTTTCATGCCTTCTGCCAGGACCCGTGGTGGAGCAAGGCCTTTCTCCAAAGATGCCCTATATGGCGAAAGCCCTATCTCGAGGGTGAAGAGAAATCGGTAGCTTGTCTGGACCTTTTTCTAACTTTTGAGGAAGTCGGCCTCTTCTGCCTTCAGCGTGCTCAGGCTGTCAATGAAACTCCAGTACAAAGTGGATCCTGCGGAGGCAGAGCCTGAGGAAGCACCGGAGCACTGCAGCGCCCCTGAACAGCAGCAGGCGTTGCAAGAAATTGCCACTTCCAAGCAGCTCAGCGGAGATAAGATAGGATCTGGGGCACAGCCGCGTCAGTGTCTAGGGCTCGTACGGCTGCTATTTTGGGTCTGCACGAGTGGCGAATTTACGGCGTTCTTGATGAGAGCTTTTTGTTTTAAGAGCGTGGCTTCTCCAAAAGAGCTGGCAACATCCTAGCTCGCCCGTGAGGAGGTCTTTGTCCTGGACTCCCGAGTCCGCTTTTCGGTGCTCGGCTCTCATAGATGCCAAAAAGGAATTCCTAAATCCAAGGAATTGGGATGCGGCTGCTACTGCTTTCCAGAAGCTTTCTGCTCCGGAGCTTGCTGCGACACGTCTGTGTTCATAACTGCCGGTGGTGATTGGGCGGGGGCTTCAGTTCAAGACTTCCAGGTGAGGCATCCTTGATGTAGGTCTTTATGAGCTTACTTTTGGCTAGCTGGGAAGGAAGGCATGGCAAAGATAATGGAAACTACCATGATGGGTTATATGGGGACTACTACAAGGATCCATTCTTCACCGTTTTTGCTCGGTGGCGAATTGCTCACTAGACCCTCCAGACAGACTGCTGCAGACTCGAACAGCTCCTGAAGCCTAGAACAAAATGGCGGCACTACTGTCTTGAATGCAATGTGCTGTTGGAAAGACTGTGATCCCGACAATGCATGGCAACGCATATTTGAGTTCTGCTTCAGGTTTGCAACGCAACGCTGCGAGTTGCGCAGAGGAGAGGACGATTGCAGGAGGCATTCGACATCTATACAGACATGCGAAATCGTGGTAATCTGTCAGAAGCCTGGTCAGCGTTGTACGACTTTTGGGCATTTCTATCTGTCTCTGCAGCTATAGGATCTGCAAGGCTTAACTCCGCTCACCAGTCACCCAGCCGAGGCTCGCACATATTCTCCACTAATCCGACTCGCAGGAAGAGTTCATTCGGCCATGGCGCGCGCCTTGCAGCGTGGTTGAATTCAGATGAATTCAGAGGGTGACTAGCTATGCAGCCAGACTTGTGGCTTGGGTTTGCGCATCCAGTTTTTTGGAGGGTTGGAGGGGACAACACAGCAGGCTGGCAGAGATGCGCTCGGTTTTGGTAGAGCCAAACGGCCACACCTACTTGGCCCTCATAGACGTTTACAAAACTGCGCGAGACCCTGATGGTGCGAAGCACGCATGGCGACACATGCGAGAAGCTGGCGTCAGACCTGTCTCGCCCGCAGTTTCTTCGGTGATGTCCGTTTTGGCCAAAAAAGGGGACCTTTCAGCGGCCGAGGCTGGACATCCGCTCCAAACACTTTTTCTTTTTCGGCTCATGTTGATCCGTAGTCAAATTCCCCACGCGTTGACATGTAATTATTCCGAACTCGGTGATTTGCAGTCGTAACGCATGTCTTGCAAGGAGCTGCTTCAGGAGGCAAGGGGACTCGGCTTAAATCCAACCACCATCTGGTACAACTGTTTGCTGGATGCCGCCCACATCGCAGGCTACTGGACGAAAGAACTTCTTGGTAGCGTGTCGGTGACACTAACTGTGGGTTACCCAGCAAGGTGCGGCAGGCCTCAAATAGCTGCTGCTTGCAGTGCTAGTAAAAACGCGCCAGCAAGTTCAGCAGGCCCTTCAACCATGTAGGATCGAATATACGTGAAGCTCGGCCCTGCAATCCAACATTGTCAAGGTGATGCGGATGCCGCGTTTCGCAGCTTAGCTCAGTGCCGTCATCTTAACACGATTCCAGACATGACTTTGGGCTTTTTGTTTGGCATGCGATGGGCATAGCCAATGCTAGCTTTTGTCTTGGGAAGGCGCTATGGCAATGCTCAGCTCTAGCCATTCTGCCTGTGTACATTGAGGCATTCTTTCTGACATGAAGGCAGCGCGAGCCACGCCAGACGTCATCTCCTACAATTGTGCCCTGGGGGCTCTGGAAGCTGCACGGAGGCCTGCTTCTGACCGTGCCTGGCCCTCAGACAGAGACGATGTCTTCGTGAGCGATTCTAAGTGACCACTCGTCTTTCTGCGTGTCTCAGGCAAGACTCCTGCAAGAGATGAAGAGTGACGGAGTCGCGCCAAACTCCCTATTCTTGGAGCGTCACGTTTGCTACGCCCTGGGTCTGCAATTCGAGCAGAGCACAGTCACAGGCGCTGATGAGCTGCGCGCGAAGGTGCAGGACCTGCCTGCAGAGGCCATTAGGTAGCTGGATAACATGCAAGCAGTGCTTTGGAAGCCTTCTGCGTTGCAGCACAGCCCACTACTTCACTTTGCGAAAAGTATGCCAACTTGTCAATCTACGACTTCTGCATCGTTGCCTCTGTTTAGCAATTGGGCGAATGGTCGTGTCATGTTGCGTCCAAAATCCTGGGGCTGTAGTATTGAGCTTCGGCAAAAAATGGTAGGTTGAATTCCTGTCTCGGAAGCTGCCTGCTGGGGATACAGGTTGTAGATACCCACAGCTCTATAGACTGTTACTGGCAGGTGCGTCAAGAAGCTCTCGATGCCATTTATGAGAGCAGCGGGTCCAACGTTGTGCAGACCAAGCTGGTTGGAGCATTGCCTCTTGGCAAGCAGGCTGTGCCGAGTCTAGATAGACGGGCAAGCTTCAGTGAAGGGCGTCGAGATATGTTCTTCTGTATTGTTGTATCACGCTGATAGTGGTTCGGCTTTGTCCCAACTGCGGCAATCAGAAGTGCATTTGGATCGTCTTGGGCTTGACTTGTCTGCCGATGGTAGAAAAGCAGCTTGCACTGGTACCAGGCTGTCTAGGTGGTCGGGCGGGTGACTTACCGGGGGCTTGTAACTTTGTGTTTTTGAGGCTGAAGGCGATTTGCTGCGCATACGAGCCAAAGCTGTTGGCATTGACAGGTCTTCAGGTTCGCATCTAAATGCACAAGTGTATGCGTATGCAGGCCGAAGGAAGTTGACTCGGGTACCGCAAGAAACTAGTCCCCTCTCCCGGAGCTTGGTGATGCTTGTGAACTTCAGGCTTACGCCTCAGAACCTGAAAGCCGCAAAAGCTGAACATTTGTGTGACTGAGGCGGAATGCTTTGGAGCGGTTCTCTGAGCCTTCTCGTGCGGACGTCCTTCCGGACAAGACTGAGACGAACGTGCAGAGCGGCGACTGGGTCAAGGTGCTGGGAGCAGATTCCGCCATGCACCCAGCAGATGCCACAGCATTTGCAATGGACATGCGCTGTGCGTTCCCATATTTAAGAGTCATCAGGCTGGTTCCCAGATAGAGCGTCTTGGCCGCAACAATCTGGCTTTCTTTGACTGAAGCACTGTCACCGCCGCAAGTGGAGGGGGGTGGGCATGTTGGCAAAGATGCCTCCTGTTTTGCTCCCGTCATTGGCAGGTACTACTGGAATCGCGCAACTGGCACCACGCAATGGGAACATCCGGGTTGCGAAGTAGCCCAGACTGTCCCAGCTCCTTAGACTTACCGCAGCAAAAATCGGAGTCGTGGCAGCCTGCAATATCTGTACTCATGCTCACCTACAGCCAGAACCATCTTTCAACCGCTCTTCACTGATGGCTGTGAGGCGAGACCTCCCGGAGGCCGCGACTTCTCAGACACTGAGGTATGTTAAGCTGGCATGACCTGACTTCAGCACACTAAGTTCAGGTTGAAGATAGAGCAATAGTTTCATTAGACCAACTCGCGGAGGCCTTTGATGCCCTCAAGGCGGCACACATCGAAGAGCTGTCAGCCGCTGTTGGCCGCCCTGGCTCAGAGGCACAGCTACCAGCTGCAGTACAAAAAGTAAGAGAAACACATTTAAGAGTACTCTAGGAGTACTCAGCAAGCATTCTGCGAGTTTAGATGTGTCTCAGGAATGCCTGCAGTACCAGGCAGCCAATTGGATTGGATCTGATTGGCTACTTTGGAAGCATGGCAGCTCTGTGCCTGGCAGATTGACTCTGGAGTTGCTGCATCGATGGCTTCGGTTATGACGTCTGAAGCTTCACAGTCTCAAAAGTGTCACAGCAGCAGTGACAGCAAGAGTCCTTGCCCAGGTGCGCCGTGATTATCGCGCGTCAGGAGCCGAGGCGCGACGCACAGCTAGTCTCATGCTCTCCACCGCCTTGGCCTGAAAGGCCGGCAGCTCACCTCTGGCAGATGGATTGGCAGGTCCAATTTTTGTTGCCATTTTGCGTGAAGACTCACTCTGGCATTTGATTGGTTGTCAAAATTATGGTCCCTTTTTGGGTACCTTAAATATTAAGTGCCGTATTATAATAGGGATCCAAAAGGGACCATAATTTTGACAACCACCCATTTGTAGGCACTTGGGAAGGAGCTTCAACCTTCCGAGGATGGAGCACTTGTTTGCTGCTCGAGCCATCTTGAGTCCTGGAGGTCCTAGAGGGCCAGAATTATATTGGGGTTATATTGGGATAATGGAAATAGAATGGAAGCTACTATATATATTGTAATTATATAATTTTTTGATGTACATGCCATAAACCCTAAACTCTTCAACCCTAAGCCCTAAACCTAAACAGACATACATGTAAATAAATAAAGGAAAATATGTGTATATATATATATAGGGCTGATATATGGGTGATATTAGGGTTAGCTAGATTTTTTTTTCGAGGACTTCGCCAAAGCTCTGAGAGACGCTGCGCTGAAGTGATGTGCTTAGCTGCCTCTTCGGTTTGCCTGGATGGCCCCTATATATCATATAGTACAATATAACATAACATAGTAGAATATAGTATATTCTAGCATAACATAGTATATTATTCTGGCATAATATGGTATATTATGGTACAGTAGCTTGCATTTTATTTTCCATTATCCCGACATAAGCCCAATATAGTTCTGGAGCCATGACTCCCCAGGCTTTCGACAGGCGGCACACTCGAGGAAACTGTAGTCGGCCCCCAAACAACTGCAAATGGGGATGAGTCGAAAGGAATAGCAGGGACATGCAGGGACTGGTTCCGGTGAGGCCTGCTCTCTTTGGCGCGAGATGAACCGGCTCCCTCACGTTTGGCTGGGTGCCTGCAAGAACTCTCTGTCTGAAGTACCAGTGGCTGGCAGCAGCCTAGCCGAGGTCGAATCCGACCACCAAGGTGACGGGCCTGGGTACCGCGCCCAGAAGCCTAAGACAGGTGCTAAAGTTGAGATTAGTGAGGCTGTTCTTCCTCTGAGGGCGAGACTCGTGCAACCTCAGCGGGCTGGAGCAACTCCGCCAGTGCGTCAAAGAATACGCTCAACTGGCAGCACCGCGCAAGACGTGACTCCGCGGAAAAAATATGGTCCACTGAGTTTTTCAGGCATTGCAGTGTCCCCATCTCATCGTGTTCATCTCAACCTGCATTACGCTGGCGTGCTGCAAATACACAGAGCAAAGTTTCTCGTGGCTTGAAAGCCCTGAAAGCCCTGAACCCTTCCTAGGATGGTCGAATACATTCTGAGAAGACTAAAGTGTTGATGTGCTCCCGTGGACGCCAAGGATACGAGGATGGATTTGTGCATCTTGTGTGCCAAGCCTTTCGATTCGTCTCGGCTTCCATGCTTGCTGCCATTTTCTGTGGAAGATCTCGGGGGACCATGGGGGCGCCGCCTGCGCTGGACTGCTCCTGATGGACACCGGCGATGGGGGCCCCGAAGCGCAGGCGCCTGGATGGACATTGCACTAAGTGTGAAGCTGAGAGTTGTCAGCTCCCACCCTGAGCTCACAGGACGGCGAGGGTGATGAGCCCGGCCACAGACCAGTGTCGCCTTCCTTAAAGCAGGCTCCCAGCATGCCATCGCTCCATCTGGCCTGATTGCTTCATGAAAGCAGTTCTGATTGCCAGGAGACTTGCTTCGTTTTTGATTGGGATGACACTATACTTCCCACGCACCGCGCTCATATCCCTGGCCAGCCCATCAACTTTGCCAAGTGGCAAGTCTGTTTACGAGGTCGTGGCTCGAGCGGATCCACGCACTGGCAGGCAGGAGGAATTAGGAGGATGTAGGAGGATTCCTTCTGTGCGGGCTGCGTTTGGAGGCGGACCTTTGCGGCCGGAAGTCCAGAGGCAGCCGTGGCCTCGGTTTTGCATCCTCCAAGGCGGCCCCCAGCCTTAGCTGGCTGCCTTTAGCCTTTTGCCTTTCAGGCTTGCGAGTCTATGCTCCGTTTGGGCCTCAGATGATTGACAGCACGCAGGAAAGGAGCCTCCTGTCTCTTTGCGACTTTGACGAAAGGCAGTGGCGCAGACACTGCAAATCGCCTCTACGCGCGAATCTGAATCGGCTAGTGTCGGTGGCTGTGAGCAACAGCGTCGGGACTGGGAACGAAAGACTGGAATCAAGTCCGCGAGAGTTGTGCATAACACGCGTGCTTCAAGGTTGGGCAACATTGTGCTAATTACAAACAGCGCCCCTGGCTGGGCGGGCTCCTTGGTGTTCAGAGTCCTACTAGGATAAAGGCTGCCAGCCTTTGCGTGGAGGTTGACCAGTCCTGCCAGATTTTCATGCCGCAGATCCTCCAGCAGGCCCTGCTTGCCGTTGGTGCTTGCCACCTGGTCTCGCTCACAGCAACTGTTCCAAGAGCTGTGAAAATTGATGGAACGTGGTTTGGGCTCAAGGAGCACGCCATTTTTTTTGCGTGCTGTAATGTAGATTGGTAGGGCTCCAGTCACGTAGATTCGAATTTCAATGTCATTTTGCATCAATTTTGTGGCGGAAACAAGACAAGCTTCAGCTTCAACCCAGGATCTGAAAGGAGCTCTAGGCCGGCTGTATCTGAGCAATGTGCAGCAATTGACAAGGCCAGGAGTGTGGGAGCTCATGCTTTGGCATCAAGTGGCTTTGCATAAACCTTGGAGACCGGCAGGCTAGAGCCATGGAGTTCTTCGCTCGGAGCGTGCAGCCACCACCTCCGCGGCAAGAACCTCAACGATGAAGCTCGGACTACTTGCAGTGAAAAAGCGCTTCGCTGCAGCTCAATGAGGCACGTCACTGTTGACGTGAACCATGGCGGGAGTGTGAAGGTTGACCGGGCAGTCAGGGGCTCAGGTTTTGTGCCAGCAGTCTAGGTACGTAACCTGTGATATTTGGAGACAAAGATGTTGTGATTAAAGGATTGGCAATCGTGATTACATGTTCTATGCATTTCCATGCACACGGTTCATGCAAGGGAAGGGCCAGACAGGGAGCAAGTCAAATATGCAAGTAATTACCGTTCCCTCTACACTGGCCCCAACTGCTGAAAAGTCTTCCATGCGACATTGGCAGCACAGTAGGCCTGGGAAGACATGAGAAGGACCGTTGAGGCACTAGAAGCAGGACCGCAAAGCAGGAAGCTGACAAGTCCCACTGCAGCTGCTTTGTCAATCTTGACAAATCCAGGTACCAAACAATACCCAGTGACTTGGGAAAGTGCGTGAAATGCACAGAGTGTGACCATCTGCATAGAAGCACCCAGTGCCAAATCGACCTTGAAGCAGCCACTACTAGTAGAAGTTGAAAGGCAGGAACCCCAGAAGCAACACGAATGCTACCAAAAATGCATGGCTCAGCAGCCTTATTCAAAGCTACTGGTGCATTAGTGCCCATCTGACCTCGTCTGGGCTTGTGTATGGGTCGTTCCTTCGCCTCCAGGAAAGGCCAGGCACGAACAATGCAAACAGGTTTGTTCTGTTCGACAATTCACAAGTCATCCATGGACTGTAGACATTCCAAGCCATTCAAACATACGTGGGGAGTTCAGTACGAGAGCAAAGCTGGCTGCCCCCCTCGCAGGTCATGTTACAATGTTGGCTGAATCCATGACCAAATCTTCATGCTGTATAGTATACGCCTGTAGCTGCCTTTCTGCGTTGCAGCAAGTGCCAGCATTCAGCATTTACCACCAAGGCGATGGACCAATTGGCATCAGCCGCTTCAAGAATTCTTGCTAGCAAGAAGATTTCCGAAGCTGCCTGGCTGCAGCTGATAATGCTTCTCTAGAGCACTTTCTGTCAAGAAGTGCCTGACATTGTTTTATCTGTTCTGTTTGATGGCTTCAGGTTGCGAAGCCTCCACCAGCTCCAAGGCATAATTCGCAGGAAGATAACATATATACCATCATGTGAAAGGACATGGGATGTTATGTCAGCAGTTCTTTGTGTGTTTGCAGGCTCAGAGTAGCGGGAGACTGCCGAAGCTAAGATCTAGCAGCAAGGCCATAGTTTTTCACAATGGTTGGTTAGTTGCAGGCCACGTGAGAGGCTTCCCTTCACCAAATCCAGCAATGAGGACTTGCAGAAGTTTGTGTTGCTTTGGTGCTTCAGCAGAAATGTTGCGTGCAACCAATGTCAACAATGACAGGACTTGGCTGAGCGATGTCCAGACTCTGATTCTGAGACGACGACTCAGGTGTTGCTCCGCATGCTTCACAGTGTGAGATGTATGTCGTAGCCACCCATCCGCCTTCTTGCTGAGGTCCATCTGTTCTGTGAGTTCTGGAAGCTCACTGAAAGGCTCGGACAAGCATCTTGATCTCAAGATGTGCAGCGTGCAGCCGAGCTGTATGTCATTGATCAGCTCAGTATTGAAGGTTGACTCTTTTGATGAAAGCTCATGCCAGATGACCTCGGCTTTCCTACGGTTCTCTCTGGCGATTTCCGACTGGAGGAATCCTGCCGTGGGTCCTTGCCGAATGTCAGAGGTCCGTCCGAGCAGCATGGAGATTTCCAAAGCATCCCCAGCAGGAGCCGAAGGAGAAGGTTCAGACCACGATCGCACCGCCGACCCTGCCGAATGAGCAGCCGGACATGCGATGCACCTGGAATCCTCTCACTGCATGATCATCGCATACTTCTTGTTCGTGTTCGCGTAACTAGAAGTGCTTGTCGCAAGGTGGTTTCGCTCCATTTTGCACTTCGTGGCTTGCTAGCTGGTCGGCTTCTTAGCAGCGTGCCCGTGTGTGTAATTTTTGTGGTTTACAGTGGCTGTTTGAGGCCAATTCTTCCACCCTTCTCAAAAGGTTGCTCGATGCGGCTTGGCAGTTTTTGGGAGCACCTAGTGTAAGGAGCACCTCCTATTTGGATCTATTTGGGATGGATGGCAGGTGCACAGCTGTGACATGACCCTTGAGGCGATAAGTGAGGTCCCAGAGCCAAGCCCAAAGTTGTGAGAAAAGAGTTCCCCGAACGATCCGCGGAGTCCTTTTGCCCACTTTGTTGGCTTTGGTAACCGTCACCCAACGGTGTGTTGCACTCGATGCGGCCTTTGCCCGCGCATTCGGGAGCCAGTTTCGGCTTGTACAGTGAGATACAAGCTTCTGTCTGGAATATCCGTTTCACAGCGTTGGCATGCCCAGCCTTTTACAGGAGGTCCGCAAGATCATCATTTTTGATGTTACTTACGAACTTGCAGATACGCGTGACTCGCAGGCCGCTTTCTGGCCATGCTGCGTACCGCCCATAAGTAGATGCGACGACGGACTTGCTGGTTTGACGATGTGTAGCCAGTGAAGTTTCTTGGAGGGTTTTGGGAATGTATTGGGGACACAGTGGCTTGTGGCGGTGTGCCATTAGCTACTGTCGTGCTGCATCGTGCTGCATATGTTGTTGCCACATGAGTAGTATTTTATTTGGCGATACTATGGTACCCAATATAGAGTAAGATTATATCCTCCTTTTGGTGTATAGTATATAATATAAGGAATATAATCTTACTAGGTTCAACCACCAAAAAGACATTACTCACATGATGAGACACGTTGCCAGCAATCATGCACTTTATCATTGTAGTTCTTGACCTAAGGGGCCTGTGTGGGGGTTTCCATAAATGGGAGGCCCCATAATATACTCCCAGTCTAAGTTCCCGATCATTGCGCCCCTGGCAGCCCCCAAGTTTTGGAGCCCGCATGTGTTAACGGCATGCCACCCCGTAATTCATGTGGGTACTTCCCAAAATTTTGGGCCCCTTTTGGTTATAGGTTATATTACGGCACCTAATATTCAGGAGTACCAAAAAAGGGACCTGAATTTTGGGAGCTACTCATGTAGCAGCAAGGGCTAGCCGGGTACAGTGCAACTTGCAGGCTCAGAACACAGGGGTTATTCGTGGGACATGGGAAATCGAGTCGGAAAGCAAGTGACCGGAAAACTAAACAAGAAATCGTGGGTGGATAATCTTATCCTTGTACATGTTCTGTTATATATATACACGTATTATTCAGTGACTTGCTTTTTCTGTTGCTTTGCTCCGGACGTCACATCTGCACTTGCTCTTATGAAACGTGAATCAGGGACAGCATAAATGATTCCGTTCATCACCGCAGATCCATTGCAGTGGATCCCCGACAAAAAGGTGCGGCCTCTGCGTGTGTCTGTCAAGGCTTATTGAGCATTATTGATGAGCTAGGAGAGCGGTTGGCTTGTTGAGGCAACCTCCATGGCAAGCTGAGGTGTGACATTCTGAGGGAGTATGGTTACGTCCCTGTAAGGAAAAATGGGATTGAATGCCGAAACACGACGTTACACTAGCGATCCATTCCTGCCGGTGACTTGCCTGATCTCGCGCGCAGATTCGCAGTTATCCGATCTTTGCGAAGCCCATGCATGCACCCCTGACCTTCAAGAAGCTTGGTTTGGATGCAGAATTGATTTGGGTAAGTTGATTTTCTGAAGAAGCAACATGCCAACAGGACCTGTTTGACTCTGAATATCTCAGGATAACGACCTTCAGACGGGAATGTAAAAAGTTCACGCGCAGAACTCAGCCTTGCGTGCAAACTCAAAAACGCTTTGTTTGCTGATTCAGCCTGGAACCCAGTACTGCCCTTCAGGAACTTGATCTCCGTTGGGGATGGAGACGCGGAGCGTGCCGCTAGCCTAAGGCTGCAGGCCAGTTGTGAGCTTCATCTGCACAACTCTGTGTATCTTTGTGCCTTGCGAATGGTAGCATCGTACCCGTGCTGGGTTGCAGGCACCCTCGGAGCGCAAAGGCCCCTTAGGCACACTGACGCCACCATATCTTTGTGATCATGTTGCCTTCGGCACTGCATCTTGAGGCGAGGAACCTCGACAACGGGTAAAATCAGCAAAGTGCTGAGTGCAGCTGAGTGTAGCTGGGCATGTGCTCCTTCCGCCAGAAGTAATGGTGAGCTCGTCAGGTGAAGCTCGTCGAGCTACCAACTTGCCAACAACTGATTGTGCAGCATGAGATGCTCCAGGCAGGCCCGGAGTCCTGAAGCGTATTGAACTGAAACACTGATGAGTCCAACGCACGTAGTCGCTGCAGACAAACGAACCATCGCACGAGAGAGCGCTCTTAGTAGCCTTTAATTGGATGCCACTCCGAAGCCAAACCAACAGTTTGGGGACTTTTGGACAGGTTCGGCTGCCGGATGTTACGGCCTTCCACGGCAGCCTGGACCTGAAGTCCCGCTTTCCAACAGGCTCCCCGCAGTCCAAGGCTTGGAGCCAGAGTTGGTGTTTGTCCTTGTTACATCTTCTTGTGCTGCTTCTCGCGTCGTGCTGACGCAGAGGTCTTGTCTGCTCAAGCAGAAATCATGTCACAGCTCAATTGCGGAGCACTTCTTGTTGCAATTGCTTACCGATAGTGACCTGAGTCCGCCAGAGCAACAGAGCAAATTCCAGTGAAGTGCTGGCACGTGTAGCTTTCTGCCGATTTATTGAAGGGAACTGCAGACCGGGCGGCTCCCATTCAACAATGCCAGCCACCACATGCAGGCAGTACTGGTCCGGTCCAGCCAGACTCCCTCAGCTTGAAACCCTGACAAAGGACACAACATCAACCTGTCCCCAGAGCTATGGCATTCTGCCATGGAGGCAGCAGATGGAGAGGAGGGAATCCAGGTGACTTGTCTGCATTAGAGGGAGGGAGGGCGAGGCAACGAGGGAGCGAGGCAGGGAAAAGGTGGCTCAAAAGCAAATCAGCAAAGCAAGCACGGGTCTTCTACACATGCCAGACTTCTGCGCACTGGACTCACCAGGATTGGATAAGTGCAGCAAGACGTAGAAAGGCATCAACAGGTTCACATTCTTGTGCAACCCCTATAGGTCTTGAACACCCTTCTATAATCCTGAAGCCTTGCATAATCCTTGATGTCCTTTATAGCCTTATAAAACCCTATACAATCCTTGCAAAGCCCTGTATAATCCTATATAACCGTAGCCAACCTTACATCACCTTATAGAACCCTATATAACCCTACATAACCCTATATAACCTCATATAACCCTAAAAACCCTACGCCACCGTATATTACCCTATGTAGGCGCAGGTGGAGCCGGTTGCGGACAGCGAGGACCCGGGCCCGGAAGCAGATGATCAGCTCTGCCTGCCTCTGGGTTGATTTAAGCTTACTAAAATAAGGGCATATAGGGGGTAGATAAAAAAAGGTATATAGGGACACATAGGGTTTAGGGTTAAGAAACTTGATTTAAGGTACTATGCTGGGACATTATCCCGCTGTAATGGAGAATCAAATGGTAAAGAACATTGAAAATGAAATGGAAACTGGGGGAATATAGGGATTTAAGGAACTTGATTTAAGTTACCATATTGGAGAAACCCTGTTTTCTCACAATTTTTCTCACAATTTTTCTCATTGTGGTAACTTCGTTTTCAGTTCCTCAACAGCAACCCAGGCCTTCCTGGTGGGACCGCCACTGCCTGCTCCAGCACCCTGGCCCTACCAAATCATGCATGCATGCAATGTATGTACGTATGTATGTAGGTAGGTAGGTATGTATGTATGTAGGTAGGTAGGTATGTATGTATGTATGTATGAAACCCCAAACCCAAACCCTAAATCAGAGGGGTTGAACTTCCTGTGAAAGAGGCATACCTATGGGAGCTCCATCCTGTCGGTGCGACTGAAGGCAGGCTGCGAGGAGTTCGGGTTTTGAATGCTTGCAGTGAGGCTTGCTTCATGTTCACAGCGAACAGCTCATCGAACGCAAGCAATACATGTTTTTTTACATAATTATGTATCATATGTCATATGTGTATATTAGGTATATGTCATAGGGCTCTGACGTCCTGCGTTTCCTGAGGCACTTGGGCTTCGGGAGTCTGATGTTCCGTCCCTTCTGCTCGCCCTCCGCAGCTTCTCAGTCTCTCAGCTGATCTGACGACGGGACAGATATCAGAAAGCACATGGGGCAACCAAGTGCGTTTTCAATCTATTGGTTTCAGGTTCATGCAGAGGAGAGAAGACTTTGATCGTCTTTGACTTCGTTGGGGAGAAGAAGGAAAGACACAAAGGGTGCTTAATGTTAACCTCATAATAAGAACTCCCCCCCCCCTGCCCCCCCGAGGATGTGAAGCCGAGCCTCCGTAATTAAGGGTATCCGGGACCATGAGCTGGAACTCCAGTCGTCGTAGCCATTAGTAGTACTGGCCAGTAGTAGAAGCATCCAGAATTTTTGCGTTTTGGATTTTCCAGTACCGGGGGGTTTGTAATTACGTTCTGGGATTTGGATTTTGCAATTACGCGGGGGTTTGTTAATATGAGGTGAACATTAGACAGGAAGAGCAAACAAAACGCCTCCAGCAGCAGCAGGAGCAGCAGAAGAAGCAGCAGCACCAGCAATACTGCAATACTGCAAACACTACTGAGAGGCCTCGCAGTGGAAGGGATGTTGTTATTTGAAGAACAGTCTTCTGGCTAATCGCACAATATGGGGCATGCTCTTAGGTGCGCATACATGTGCAGAGGGTGGTATTCAATTCTTTACGGACGCTCAGAAGCTTTTTATACCACACTTTATTCTTCGTTGGAGACGCGAGCTGCGCAGGTTTTTGTTTTACTTGGACGTAGCAACGTCTGATTTCCATCTTCCTGCTCAATCCAGTGTGCCTGTGGTTGGCGGTACTGATGCTCAGCTCAGGCACGATGCGTTGACCCGTCGGCGGAGTTAGTTGTCGAGCCTTGCGCTTGGGCTTCAACATCCCTGGCGGCTTCTGTGGCTTGACGGATTTTGTGGGGTTCAGGTTGGATGCCTCGGAAAACGACCTCTCTGACGAGGCCTGGTTCGACTGCATGTCTGGCGGCTGCTTTTTCTCTTGCAAAGGCCGGGGCCATGCTGGTCTCCGGGCTGCAGCACATCGGGCAGGGCCGCCAAGGCTGCATTCTCCCCCTGCTTGCCTGAACAGCATGCTGGTCGGCCAGGAATCGCACGTCTGCGAGTCTTGAAGCTGCACAAGAACGGAGCGAGATCGCCCAGCTGCTGATCCGACAAGCAGATGCAAGCAGTGCAAAACCAAGCTCAAGCTGAGGTCGGTGACGCGACCTGTGAAAAGATTGCAGCACTCATTTGGCACCAGAAGCAGGCAGTGGAGGCCCAGCCAAATGAATCAAGCTGAGCGAAAGCTGAGGCAGCATTCACGCTTCAAACAATCTGCAGGAGATTCATCTTTCTCACAACGAGGTCCGGCAGAGAGGCGCGGAAGCAATCTTATCTCAGACATGGATTTGTAAGAGGGCCTCAAGAGCTGAGCAGCAGGCCTGCAAAGCGACCTTTGCCTAGACCTAGAAAGGAACGAATGAGCGCACTGCGTGTCTTCGATAGAGGAACCGGTACTTGGACATGGAATGCCGTACATCTCAAACAAAGAGAACATGATCTTGGAGGCATGACAGCATTGCTGAGCGCGCTCGCCATGCATCCGCATCAGGCAGGGGCACTGGATTACAAACGTCTCAGCAGATGTGTCATGTGATGCAGCAGAGCCACGGGAGGCATATCCGCGGGCTGCACCAGGCGAAGCCATTGCCTCAGAGGTGTTGACATTCAAGCATCATGGCAGCTTGTTCCGGCTCAGGAAGTGCCATGCTGGGTCCGGTTGGAGCACAATCAGGACCTGGCCCCGGCTGTCTTCTTTCGGGCTGTTTGAGCTTTTCACATTCTTTGTGAAAGCTAGGTGTCCCATGCTGAGTATGTCCTCGAGTTGCTGGGCAAGGCGGGCACACACGCTTTGATGCGCTGTAGATGCGCTGGTGGACCAGGAGCCAACACGGCTGCGAAAGTGCCTAGCTCCCCGACGGGAGAAAGGGCCAAGTTGCACCTCCTTTCGATGCCAGGCGGGGCCACGTTGCAATGTAGCCTGCATGCTACCTTGCAAAGGTTCTCTTGCTGTGGGGAGGCTCTTCAGGATGTGGCGCACGTCCACTTGTACTGCATCGACAAGCAGGCAGGCAGGGCTTTCTTCTCACTTTTCCGCCCATCCATTGCCATCCTCTCAGGGCGACACGCAGAGTGAGACGAAGAAACACGCCCAGGCCCGTAAGATACTTCAAAGGGCAGCTGAATTCACCTGACCTTGACTGCTGTGGGAAGGCCATGGTACAGGAAGCCGTGGAGAACTGTCGCCAGGGCTTCCCGGGTGGCTGCGAGCTGCCCACTGCCAAGACTCCTCCAGTGCCTTCTGCACCTGCCGATGCCGCAGCCTGCCGTGTGGTGGATCTGAATGTCTGAATCTCAGAACGTGACAGTCAAAAAAGTGCACACGTCAATGCAGGGGCCCAAGGTCAGAAGCGGGCTTGTTTGGACTCAGCGGCCTATAAGGTGGATCCCGACCTGGGCGCAGGGCTCGAGCTCAGCGAGGGCCCGTACGGTTTTGTGGTGGATGATGTTGATTCGAAACCGGGACAGCAGCCAGATTCTCAAGACCGCGGCCTCCAGCCGTTTCACTGGATCCTGCAGCATGTGCGAAAGGCTTTCGCAGGGAGACGTGCTTCTGGAGATCGATGGAGTGCAGCCTGGCGCTCAGCTTTTGGGAAATCACCGAGCTGACGTGCTTGGGTCCTGCGCGAGATCTTGTCAGAAGATGTGCTGGCAGAGGTTGTGGGGCGACTTGGGCGAGGACCGACTGGGCGAGGCCGGTCTGATGCCGGTACTGAGTGTGTAGACATACAACGTTTGTTCTAGCTTACGGTAACTGGGAGCATCTTCAAGTCAGTTGTCAGAGGCTTTCGGCAGCCGCTTTGCGGATGGGGCTCGGCTGCGTGTTGCGCGAGTCGAGGCGCTGCAGGGCCGGCCGCTTTGGCAGCGTGACCCTGAGGCCCCAGCAGCCAATCTGTTGAGATGAGAGGGAGTCTGAGGCCCGTGTCAATTCCTGGGGCCTCTTTGTCCTCGCGCTGCGAAACCTTGCGAGATTCGCTGGGCTGGGCTCCTATGGCTTGCTGGGAGCAGTGAGCAGATGTCCTCTCCCAGATGACGATCTGACGATCATGGGCCAGCAGTGTGGTGTGGCAACAAAGCTGGAGGATACCTCCTTTTGAGTGGTTGCTAGGTTCATGGTAAGAATAAGGGCCCTTGAGTTCAGGAATGGAATTGTTCTGCTGCGAGGACGAAGGGGTTTGGGTGCGCGGCCCTCCGCAGCAGCAGCGTCATGGCCCCAGTGTGCCTCATGCCGGCCAGAAAAAGACAGCAACATAAACAGCATGCGCTGCAAATCCCAGTTGCAGTCCTGTCCAAGAGTGCAGCGTCCACCTTCAGGATGTTGACCCATTGACTGGACAGCACGCGCGCTTGAATTGAGTGTTTTATGATATTTTATGCATGTATGTTGATGTCTATGGATTCGGCTGTTTGCTCAGGCTGGGCTGCCGATGAGCTGCCAAGGTGCGAGTGTTCTGCATCTCGAGCAAACTTTGACCGGAGATTTTCCAGGCTGATGGCCTTCTACTTCCCTGAAACGTCGCTTCCGCTGGGATCCCAGTGGACTCTTGCCAATATACTACAGGGTTATATAGGGTCACATGGGGAGAATGGAAAATAACATGGAAACTACTATATTATATATAGTCATCATCTAGGGTTATATGCAGGCGCCAGACGGACATTTGTTTGGAAGGTTCCCATCTTGCCATTGGCGCGGCGATCCCGATGAGATGTGCCTCGTGAAGCCCGAACAGCCTTCAGAGGAGCCGCATCCTTTCTCGCCAGTGTTTAGTAGGGAGCAAGGAACATGATCCCCATCTATGGTATATATATATATATGTATACACACACACATATATATTTTTATATATGTATATATATATATCTCCTTATGCCCTACTAGCCAGTAAGCCATTTGGTGTTAAAGTTTAGGCATCACGAGGTAAACCGCTGTATAATCCCAGCTTCCGTTTCATTTTTCTGTGTTCTTTTCCACTTGATTCTTCAAAGGTAAGGATTGCAATATTGAAATATTGCCACTTCCAATCTAGCGCCATCATGTATCGGGACGAAGATTTAGCACTTTGGACCCCAGGCATCACAGGGTTTATAGCAGGATGATAGGGCTTCCCAAGGGCTTCCCACATAAGGATTATATGATTAGGGGATTATTTTGAGAAACTCGCACCAGTTGGGAGGCCCCTGCAGCCTTACGAGAGCTTCGTCTCGGGGAGCTTCCAGGTCAGTCCCATAGCCGACCAGACTGAAGTCAATGCTACAGTTTGGGTATTGCCCCCGCTCTGTGGCAGTTGGATGATGTCAATGTTATAGTGATCTATAGCCCTTAATGTGACCCCTAAGAGTTATGGACGGAATCAATGCAACCTATTTGGGATGTTGAAAACTATCATTGCTGTGTTAGCTGCTATGGAAAGGATAATGATAAACATGCAAATAATGATCGTACTAGAAGTCATAAACAGTGCATGTGTGGGCACTGTCATGCAAAGAAACTCTTCCAATATATAGCAGAAACATGAAGCTCGCCCCCACCCTGAGATTCCGACTTTGCTAACCTGGCCGCATGGGAGAAGCTCCTTCGAGGGCAATGGTCTAGGCCTCAGGCAAGTCCTACTGCACTTGAGACTTGAGTCTGAAGTCGCCCGTGAGACACCCCAACAGCATTTTGATCGAGCATGCATGCCTCCATGTACACAAAATCTACACGAGCTTCTACACGCATGGAAGCAACTTCAGCTCAACAATGAGTTTGTAACGAGTTTACATGAGGTGCGAGGATGATGACATCTTTGACGAGGACCTGCCGGTCGAACCGCTGGAAGCTTCTTGCCTTGAAAATAGCTTTCGCTGCATGCTGGTGATCAGATTTCCTGGATTTGCTGTTATTCTGTGATTCTTCGCTATTTCAGGCTCCAGATGACGGCCCCGATGTGTTCGAGGGACAGGTGCCATGCTATATCTGCTGCACTGTTACTGTTACTTGACAGGTTTTCACGAGGCTTCTTGCCGGTCCCGGTTTCAACTGTGTTGTCCGGAAGATTGTTGAGTGCATCGGATGGTGCATCCCAGATCGCAACTCAACACCAGAAATCTAAGCACAGGATTGCAGTCCTGGCTTGCAGGCGCTGGCTCCACAAGCGGATGTCTCGCAGCCACTTCGGGCTGCTGCCTTGGATGCAGCAAATGCCTGCGAGTAGGTCCATCCAAGATTCAGCTGACTTGACAGGGACTTGCGACGGTGGCTCAGGTCCTGATGCTGGTCGGAATTCCCGGTTCCGGCTGGGAAGCTCAGGTCAATTTCCACGCAAAAAGACCGCGGCTGGGAGCGCTGGTTTGCAAGTCCAAGGCAAAAGCACACTGGCGGCCAGGTGCAGTGGGAGAAGACATGTGGATTCAGATTGGTACTGTTTCAGCGCTGTGACCGACTGGAGAGGGTTGGGCAAAGCACCTTTACACTAATCTTCCGTTGCTTGTCGCTGCACCCAGCCTTGGCATACATGAGCTACTGTCAATACTGGGCCTACCAAGGGACCATTGAGGGTGGACATCAGGGTCCTTTGGTGCATTAGTACAGTCCCTATGTTCCTTGATTGATACGGAACCCCTGTCCATTGATGATATGAAGTAGATTGAGTGCAGCTTACATGAATTTTGGACGCACAGGATAAGATCCAGAGTCCAGAGTAGCTTGTGACGGGCTTTTGTCTGACAGAGTTTCCGGAACGCGCTTTCCGTTCCTATCAGTAAAGTTGGCAAGAATCAAGAAGTGTTGCTACTACTGTTGTTTCCCTCGGAGTAGGCTGCGGAGACACTTTTCTATCAGCCATGGCCTTTGTCTTGGGAAATAACGACGCAAGTCATGAACCCGACTCATCACCAACCCTTGGGTTCCTGCTCCTATTGTCCTGCAAGTGCCTAGAAGCAATCCTCTGTTCGAGCGTCCAAGACATTCGAGCTTGAAACGTCCCAGGCATCCGCACAAGGTTCTAAAGAGATCATGCTTGGTGCTTCTGTCACGAGCGCTGCGCGAAATGTCAGGATGCAGCGTCTTGGGCACGGACCCTGATTGCCCGTTGCTTCTCTTAGCTCAGGCCAGCTTACAGACTGTTGGCCCGAGCGCCCAGGTGGGTCGTCATCAACCAAGACACACTTGGGGCTGGCACCTGAATTCTGCAATGGAACACGGTTTTCAGCCCACTTCTCAGAGCCTGTAAGGACAGGAAAAAATGTGTCACTGCTGCGCATGATGCGTTATCAAGCGTGCTGCCTGCAAGCTTTTTCGACTGACTTCGGTACTTTTCACTATCCGAGTTCAGTCTGGATCCCTTGGCCAGGGCAAGAGGGTGGTCATCGATCGCTGCAACGTTACACGACTGCAGCGGCGGGTGTGGCTTGGAGTGGCAGATGAGAACCAGGCAGACTGCTCTGGGAGATGTCGGGCGTGTTAAGTTCCTTGATGTGCCTTCATCGAGCATGTGTACAAATGCATTAGATCGTTCGGCGAGGCTAGTGTTTCCTGTATTTGGCTGGATGTGCCAGAGGTGAGACTCTCAGTTGAGCGCTTGTGCTCAGTAGATTTCATGAGCATGTTGTTGGAATTGATGGCGCGTGCTGGTGAGAAACTCGCTGTTGCTGTGCGAAGCTGAAAGCATGACGGCAACTGCTCCCGCAACTCTCTTTCCACAGCGGCTCTGTCTGTGGATAGACGACCGTTAGGGCTCGTCTGCAGCCATGCCGTGCAGCCAGTGCCCGTAAGGTGTGCAAAGGCGGGTTCACACGAATCATGTTCACCGTCTTAAGTCTTAAGTGTGGCTATGCAGGCTTTTGCCTGATAGATGGCGGGTTCGACCAGTCTTGCTGACTTCAAGCAGCCACTCGGCCACCAAGAGCAGCCTTGAGCCATGCAAAGTTGATGCAGAACTTGCTGCGTTTTGTCACAAAGGCTGGCCCTGCTTGGAGAAGGAGCTTACTCTGCCGTTTACAAGGCGCCAGCTGTAGCAACTAGTAGCAACCAGTTGCTGACAAGGGGTGGATCCTTCTTTGCAGGTTCTTCGCCTGGCAGACAATGAGATCTATGCTTTGAAGAAGGTCCGGTTGCTTAGAGGATGCCATTGTGGAGGATGGTTGGAGAGGGCCTCTGGCCAAATTCAGGTCAAGCTACCTTCCTTGTCCGACAAGGAGAAACAGAATGCCCTCAACGAGGTTCGAGAGCTGTCCTGACTTTGGAATGCCCCTTCCTTGTTGCACTCAGGTCAGATTGCTTGCATCCGTCAAGCATCCGAACGCTCAGCCCCAAGATGCTCCAGTGATGCCCCCGCTTTCTGCGGCAGTTTGTGGAAGCTTCCCCCAACATCAGGTCGTGGCTTACAAGGAGGCTTTCTGGGACGACAAGACCCGGTGCCTCTGTATTGTCCAGGACCTGTGACTGCGGTATTAGATTCTGGCTGGTGTGTGGACTTCGCTTAAACAGTAGGAGAAACTGTCATGTGAGTCGATCCATAAGGAGCACAAACTTCACTAATGTGCACGCAGAGGATACCCCACCATTTGAATGTTTGGAGTGGAGCAACATTAGCAGTCAGCAAACGCCAAGTCGTGCCACTTTGCCTGCATTGCAAACCCTTCATGTCAGCACACAAACAGGAACACGTTTGACCCAACATACCCAACAACGTGTTCGGCCGTTTGCGTGAGATCACGCCCTTTATGAGGAGTGTGCAGACGGCGACCTCCTTCAGCAGATCAACAAATGCAAGCAGGAGCGCGCCTACCTGCGCGAGGTAGGGAGCAGGGCTGAATGGCCGTCGAACAAAGGGCTGCTAACACCAGCTCCACACAGAGGCAGATGTATGGCGATACCTGGATGGAATGTGCCAAGGTCTCAAGGCACGCTTGCACTATTCCATGATAGTAGCACCTAAGCATCCCGATCTTGCCGCCTCAGATGACTGTGGTCACCTGCTTGGTCAGGCTTTACATGATATTCGGGTGCTCCATCGTGACATGAAGTCGGCCAATGTCTTCCTGCTCCTCGCCGAAACTGACGAGGTTCTGATCAGCTGTCACAGCGAAGGTACCCAATGCAAGCAGTCAGCAGTAGCGAGTTGAGTCGCCGCAGTCAATCCTACTCGTACCCGCCCTGCTCACATGGCTTGCGTCTCAAGGATATGTTGAAAGCTGAGGAGCCACACGAAGGACGGCACGATGGCAAAGCTTGGCGACTTCAATGTTTCCAAGGCAACAGGAGGGTCGAAGCATGTCGCTGCCAGTTTCCCTCATCAGAGCACGATGCCTTCATCCAGGTTGCCAAGCGTGGCCTTTGCATGACTCAGACGGGCACTCCGTACTATGCATCTCCCGAAGTTTGGCGGGACATGCCATACGATGCAGCTGGCCCGATTTGAACATTGCAGTAGCTTGGGACAGGCCCTTTTAGTCGCCTGCCTGACCAAGGCTAAAAGTGACATGTGGTCCTTGGGCTGTATCATGTATGAGGCTTGCATGCACTTCAGCCGCCTTGCCTGGTAGGCTAAGTCAAGTCAACCGCCTGGTGAGATTTCCATCAAACTGAGGAGATGGTAGCTCTGCGACCTCCGTTTCGAGCGGAAGATATGGAAGGGCTGTATCGTGACCTGGCTTGCCTGCAGGCATTTTGCATTGGCAGACCTGACTTACTGTGTAAGCGCCAGCTTTGTAAAGAGTTCCATTTGACATGAACGGCCCGGAACATCCCCGGCTCCGAGGCAAAGTTGTGCGTGGGCAGTACCCACGCATTCCAGCGCATTACAGCATCTTGATAAACATTGGAATGCCTGTATGAACGCATCTGGATTTGTTCCCTGTCTCCAGGCCAAGATCTTGCAGACGTAATTGCAGCGTTGCTTCAGGCAGTTTCATGTTCTGGAGTTTTCAGACCAAAACTCCCTTTGTTTATTCAGGTCCACCCTCGGAATCGCACTGGCCTCGTGGCAGAATTGCACCTTGACTCTGACGGGCACTGTTTGTGAGGCCCGGCTGTGGACCAGTTGTACCAGATGCCTCAGATGGCCCGTCATTGCAATGGGCTCCCTGGAGAGGCCTTTCAGTAGACGAGCCAGTCAAGCTTGTCAACAGCATTTCGAAAAGGGTTCCAAGCATTTGCCGGAGGGAGTTTGCATGAGAGGATTGTGTGGCTTCAGGGTCTAAGGTGCAGCTAAGTCACTGACCTATAGTCCTGCCTTAAGTAGATAGAATATGGCTTTGGGTATATTATAATAAGATCCTCATATAGCCCATATCCTATCTACTGAAGGGGGACTCTAACCCCAATATATACCCTATTGTAATATAGTAGTTTCCATTTTTCAATTATCCCTATGTAACCCCTATAAAACCCAATATTCTATCTACTTGAGGGGGACCATAAGTGCATAGCGAAAAGCCTTATGATGGCGAACAAGCGAAGCGCCGAGCCCCTTTCAAGCAAACAGGAAGGGTCGCTTGGGCAGCCTCAACCTGCCTGAGTATATTAATTGCAGCATTATTACAGTATATTATGGTATATTATGGTATATTATGGTATATTATGGTATATTACAGTATATTATGTGAGTTTCTGAAAAGCCTTAAAACCCGGGAAAGGCCTAGGAAACTGTGTGCTGAGACCCCATCTAGTAAAACGAGTCTAATGCAAATTCTAGTCCGAGCCCTCACCGGGACCCTGGCAAACAGCCCAGCCCAAAACCTGATCTGCTTCGATTTTCAAAGCGGGTCAAGCAGGCCTTCTGGCCTCAGCGGGTAAGCCGTATTTGGGCTGCAAACTCGGCAGGAGCAATTCACTTCAGATCTCCTGTGCACGATCAAGCTCCCAAAGAATGCCATAGCGGCGGTCCTAGATCTCAATTTTACCGAAAGTGTGTGCGGCACAAGAAATGCACCTGCCGAGGATCTCAGTGGATGCCTGCCCAAACCACGCTACCAAATGGATTTGCGAGTGCAGTCCTGAGTAACCAGGATCTTACTGGTGATTCGTAGGGAATAAGGGAATACAATGCTTACATAATCCGTACGTAATCTATTCCCTCATTCCCTACATTCCCCCCCCCCCCCCCCAGTAAGTTATTGTTTAGTGTTCCATGCGGCCAGAGCGAAACTGAGGACGCACTTCTTCCAGAAGAGTCCGACCGCTTTGACACAGACAGCCCAGCCGAACGCCAACCAGAACGCCAACCAGGGCGTAGATTGGGATCAGCTCAAGCTCAAGGCGATCTTACTGGGGGTTTGTAGGGAACAAGGATAGATGTGTATATACACACATTAGGTAGGGGTGATATTCCCTCATTCCGTACTAGCCACCAGTAAGCTGATGGGAGGAAGGGAGCCCGAACTGCCCGTGCTTACATGTGGTTACTCAGGAGGCCTTCCTCCGATACCTTCCAGGGGCACCCGGAACCTTGGAAGCGCAGGGGGGGCCTCGGTGGCACGCGAGGACATGTGGTAAGCAGATGTACGCAGCAAGACACAGGCAGACAAAGCGCCAAACCTGGCAGGAGGCTGGCGATAGTCTGGACATCTACATGCAGCTCCTTGACTGCGCAGCAGCAATGAACTGAGTAAGCAGCAAGCAAAATTTGTGATCAGCAGGCGTGTAGACGGAAGGGAAGATGCTGTGAGCCGTGCGCCTCCCCGCCGCGCCAGTGGCCCAGACGTCTTGCCTTGCATGCCTCGCTCAGTAGGTCTTGGCCGAGACTTTTGCCTTGCCAGGATTTGTCTGCATCCCGCCCAGAAAGCGATGCGAGCAGCGTTGCTCCATACCAGGCCACTTTCAGTTCAAAAGCTGATCTGAAACCCAAAACTTGAGGTCCCTAAACCCTTAATCCCTAGCCCTAAATCCCTAGACCCCTCAAACCCAAAGTGGTACTTGGCAGACTTGGCAGGGTGGCAATATCGGACGGCAGCCAAGGCTGCCAGCCGTCGGAGAATCTCGAGGAAGCTGACAGAATTGTCTGACGATGAGGATGTTAGTGCCAAACCTTGAGACTCACTCCAGGAGTCACTCTGAATCCTCACTACAACGCTGGACATGCTGGACAGAAGCTTCGGGCCAAGCATCTGTGGCATTTTGTTTGGAGAACTGAAGCAAGCCCAGGCAGCGGGAGCCAAGAAGGCCGATGTCCATCTATGCTCGTCAGCCGGCCGCTCAGCACTTCTCGCTATGTACAAATGACTTCCACGTGTTTCAGCAGGCTTCTCTTGCTTGTCAGGCTGGCACAGGGCATGCTAATAATAATCAGGAGAAGAAACTTGCGGGCCGGCATCTCTTTCCAGGTGAAAGCAGCCTGGGCCACCCTGAAAATGTGAAAATCCAGACGCATCCAAAACTGCGACGGGAACACATGATGGAAGCGCGCGCGAGATGCGCTTTCGATAAAACAGAGCAAGGACCAAAACACCTGATACTCTTAGATGTGTTAAGTCTGTGCACTCACTGCACTCGCCATTACGAGTGTGCCCCGTATGCAGCGCGTGCGCAATCAACACCGTCAACAGCAGCTAACTGCTTCCATGATGTCCATGACCTTCAGTTTGTCACCAAGGCAATATGGCGTCGCAGAGCCGGGGACTCATGGGTACCAGCCGGTTCACATGTTGCTGGCACGGTGTGTGCATGCGGGCATAGTGCGGCATTTCAAGGCCTGCTCGACCTCCAGAGAAGGAGGAGAGACAACCGAAAGATACAGGCGCGCACTCCTGCCGTCGCGTGAAAGATGGCTTGGGGATCCCGCAAGCTTGGACCCTGTCCAAGGCAAGAAGCGCTCTCTCATTCCCAGGCAGGGGCTTGCTATGATGTTTCAGCCTGTCCCAGGAAAAGCCCTGTGCTCAGCCGCCAGGTTGTTTTAGCAGAAGCAGATGGGGGGACCTCTGGTGTCCTTTCTGAGACTGTAATTTGGCCCTGTGCGGTGCTGAAGTACCTGCACTGGCCATGTTTTCACCTTTGGCAAATGAATGTTATTGCGCACGGCAGGCAGACCGCTCAGTCTTGTGTCAGACTGGAAGTTTCATAGTTGTTGCATGAGCCTGCCGTGCCCACTCTTGTCTCGGGTCCCCGAAGGGGGCTTCTTGAATATATGTTTCCAGCAGAAAACTGCAGCTGCAGCTGTTCGTAAGTTCCCGCCGTAGGTCAAATTGGCACATGAGAGCAGCAGGACCATTGAGACCTTAACACGACCCACACAAGGAAGACTGTGGCGACCGGGTGCTCCGGCGCTTTGGCCATCAAACGCTTCCAGCACACGATTCGAGCCTCGAGGTCCGCGGGCTCAGGGGTGTGCTTGGCAAGGAAGCGCACGGAATCGCTTGCTTTCAATTTAGTCGCCTCATTGTTGAGGTGATTTCGGCTTTCGTGGACCGCATGGAAGCTCCAATGGAGGCCACCTTGCCAAGAGGAATGTCACATTACTAAAAATGGTTTAAGAAGCAATTCATGAACTGTGCAGAGGCTGAAGGATTTATCTTGTGGCATGCTCGAGATGATGCTGATGTCGATGAGGTGGACAGCTCTCCCAAATAGTGCCGCATGGCTGAAGTTTGCTGATCTTCTGAGGCAGTCGCTGAGATCCGAGAGCTTGCCGAGCGAAGCGAGGTCTGCCTGCTGCATTTCCCGGCATTTTCACCAATTGCCCAATTGCTTGGAAGCCTGAAGGCTCAGGCCGAGGCCATGGAAAGACTGCCAGCTGCGCCATATCCCCAAGCCTCCGTTCCACGTGATGGCTTTGCGTACAAGGCGCGCTGCCAGTCGTATGTCTCCGCTTTGGGCTCCCTGCCGCTGCAAAGGCTGTGCAGCGGCGTGGTGTTCGTGCCTTGTATCTCCGAGCAGTGCGCCGGCAGATCGAGTACTATTTCTCGGACTGGCCAGTGTTTGCAAATCTTTGCAATATGTTGCAATGTCTGACCGTCTCATGTGTTGCCCATCTTGCCATGTCTTGTTGCCATGCGTTTCCAAATGGTCAGGACAAGAATCTGAAACAAGACTGGCCTGCCTGGCATGGCCTGGTTCTCTGACGGAGCCCCAATGCTGTAAGCTGCCAGGTTCTTCCAGGAGAAGATCCTGGAGGCAAGCTGGAACACCTCAAGTGAACAATGGTCTCTGTGACACAAGATACACATGCATGTGAATGGCTAGATGGTAGTTTCCCAAAATAAGGGGACCCTAATGTAGACCCCAAAATACTACAATCCTCTTTATATGGACACCTAAAAAGGGACCCCTAATTTTGGGGAACCCCCACATGCATCAAGCTTCCGCAGTTGATCCTGACGATCTGCAGGCTCCTGAGCCAGAGTGGCTTGAGATGCGCTGGCTACTCTCATGTCCACGCATCCAGGATGTTCATTGTGCCTTGGCGGCCATGGCGGCTGATTGGCTTGAGGTAAATTCCGAAGGTTTGCAACAGTCGGATGCAATGCCTTGCCTCTCGTGCTTGAGGTGCTTCCCTGCAAGATGTCCTCGAGGCTTGCATTACGATGTGGTTAGTAGCTTTGGTATTGTAACAAATAAAATATGTTCGCCGCGGCAAGCTGTGAGCACTTCAGCTGGCAAGATGATTGTTTGCACAGAGAGGCTGGCTGCTCTCCACATTCTTCTGTGTCCCTTCCCGCAGGCTTTGGGACCATCGACCCTCAAAGTCAAGGTCCGGCCTAAGTGTTGTGATAATTGCGATAATTGTTGTGGTTTCTGATCTTGTTTCTGAAGTCTTAGGCTTGCCATGGCACGCACTGGGTGCGAAGGCGAGAACAGCTCAAAGGGAATGGCACAGCAGCCTGCGATCTGCAAGGAAAAAGCCACTGCCACAGCTGAAGGAAAGCCGCCGGACCCTCCCAGCTGCAGCAGGGATGTGTTTCAAGCCTTTGCGATACGGCGGTTTACCCTGGGTAGCGGTAGCATTTTTCTCGTACCTGCCGAGTGAGGCCCGGCCAAAGGACAGGAGCCGGAGTGGTATGCTGCTCGTCTCAAATTGACGCATTTGACGCTTGCCTCTCCGCAGGGGCCAGATAGGCTTTGCCCACGGAAACGCCTGCAGGTTCGGTTGCACGCAGTGGCAGACGCAGAAGGCAGAGTCCGACCCCTCGCAAAGCAAGACACCAGCTTTGATTTCTCCTGGCTTCCTGGGTTTGGGATGGTGCTTCTGGCTTGGTACACCACGTGAGTCATTTCTACATTCTGGATGATAAATCTTGTCAGCACTGCTCCCCATAGCTTTCACGTTCATTGTTTGTTGCAGGTGCAGCTGCAGACGTCCCGTCAGCCGAAGTGGTGCCCGCCGAAGCGGCGGGCATCGCTCCCGCGGCTGAGGAGGACGGTTGCCAGGCCCTGAAAAGGGCCACCCATTCCAATATCATAATAGGGTTTATATTGGGGGTATATTGGGATAATGGAAAAAATGGAAACTACTATTTAGGGTAGTCCGGTTCAATGCGATGAACGGCTGTCTTGTCGCTGTCGTGGGTCTGGGGCAGTGCCGTCACGTGTCGTGTGCCTCAGTGCGCGGCCTGCCACCGCCAAAAGCCCCGTGAAAGCTTCAGCAAGGCTCGGGCCTCATGGCTACCATCCGCTACAAGATGTTTTCATATCATGCCGGCTTCATCGCACGGTCCTGACATGTGCATCGCATCGCCTGCGTGAGGCGCAGCTCACAAAGCACCGGAGGACGCCCGGATTGCAGTCATGTGGCCGAGGTGCCCTACAGTTTTGTGAACTGCTGCAGGAGCCCGACATGCAAAGAGTGCCTGTCAGCAGCTGCTGCATAATGTGAGCTCTAGCATCGCTTCAGAGAAAAGGGCCGTGAAGTTGGACAAGAATTGAGTCACGGACTTCCGAGTACTTGTACTTGGCCGAGCCTGCGATGGGTGTGTTCTCTGCCGTGCTGCACGTACACACGCGCAAGACTTGCAAGCACACACATGCTAAAGTTTTTTTCTGCAATGACTCTAATTGCAGGCATGCGGTCCCACTCTGGTGCATTTCGGCCGGCCCATGGGCATATGCGGAGCCAAGTCCTCACCAATAGATTGAGCTTGCTGTTATGATTCAGGATGTGACGGGCCACTTGTGCTCCGCATTGAACGCCCGGTCTACGTAGAAGCCCCTTTATTATCCCCAATGATAGCAATGATAATACTAATAATATGGATACTAATTAATAATCTGTAATAATGAATAAGTGTAATTTGACAGCAAAAGACGCAGGTCAGTCCCCCGGCAGCGGCTGCAAAGCCTGAGGTTCGCTATTTCCTGTCAGGGAAGTTAAGTGTGTCCACACAGCTGAGAGCAGTCAGACTTTTTGTCTTCTAGATACATTCTGTGCGTTCGGCTGAGCCTCGGCTCCAGGATGACATAAAGTTGAATCAAGTCTTCGAAGCACCTGATGCAACACTTCTGAATATGACGTGCAGTATGCAGTATGCAGCTAGCCTAGCACCTTTGATCAGATGACTCTTCAGCTCTCTGACCTTATCGAGCCCAAGCGGAAGCGTAGTCTCAGGGCTGAGTGCATTCATGGCGCTGATCCTGTCACCGTCGCACCGCGGCTCCCCGCTGGTTCACAGAGCATGGAGGCAGAGGGGGAATCTGATCTATCCACACACCATATCAAATCTTTCCCAATGTCTTTGGCTGAGGATACTAGCGGTGACCTGCTACTAAGTGGATGTGTGGCTGCCAGCTTCCAGCATCACCTGGCAGGCCTCCAGTCAGATCTGAGGCTCCAGAGCCCCAATTTGGAAGCAGCTCGGAGCCCCAGAATACTCCATACATGCCTTTGTGCAAGATTCTGCTGGTACTTACGCTTTTTGACAGAATACAGGTGAGCCACAGCGTTCCTGGTCCTCCACGAGCTTTGGGCTGTGGTGTGGCTACCTGCCACGTTCTCGGAAACACATCTCTTTTCATGCTGCTACTTGAGCGCATCCAGGTGCTTTACGGCGAGCCGCAAGCGCGCTGCAGTCGCGCGGCATGCTATTGGCAAAGAAGGTTCCCACCTTGAAGGGCAGCAGATCGGTCTGTGAGTTCCCTGCGATACCAGCATCTTGCCTGCAGTTGCAAAAGATCCTCGACCTGGCGAAGGGTGGGGCGGCGTGATCCGAACTGATCGGGACGCTTAGGGTCTGGGCTTGTCCATGTTTAAAACTTGCATGGGCTGGATTGATGGACTGTGCAGGATCAATGGGGTGGATTGACCAGTGGCATTGGCCTGTTTACCAGCTTGAATCCGGGCTGCTGACAAGGGGCCGGAGAACCATACATCATCACTTGGACCCAGTATTTTTAGCCGTGCGCATCTGCCAGAAGCCTACCGCATGCCATTGCCCGCCGACGTGGACGACTTCAAAATGCCACCCTTCAGTGTCCAGTCCTTATCTGCTAAGTTGAAAGGCACAGCCTCTTGGAAAAGGGAGGGCCTCTTAGAAAAAAATCCATCAAGCTGGAAGGTGCTCATGAAGCTGGTGAACAATCGGTCACCTGAAGAAGCTTTAAAGCACCTCAAGGAGAAGGAGCCGTTCCGACCTTGGCAGGATTCTGCGGCAGATGCCGCTGTAAAGATTGCCTGATTGATGCCGAAGAGTCGAAAATCCTCTCATGAGGTGGAGACTGAAGCGTCAGCTCGGAATCTATTCTCCTACGCCCCAGTGAGCCTGCGGACTTGTTTCGATGCTGGTGCCGATCATGGTTGGCTTCAGGTATCAACCCCTTCAGTACATAGAAGACAAGCCGTTCTGGCAGAGCAGCAAGTTCGTGAAGAGGCCATTATTTGCTAAACCGCCTCTGGTTTTGGTGCGGCCTCGCAAACAGTTTGCCTCAGGAAGATGAAGAAGTACTACGAGAAACAGCTCATCAAGCGAATGGAGCAGGATGGAGCCAGTTTGCACAGCATCCAAAGCAGTGGTGCTGCCTGTACCACCAGGACGGCATCAACTTGAGATATCTTCCGAGCCCCAAAGACCGCCTCGAGTTGGCAGGCTGCCTTTGCAGCAACAGGGTGGTCAATACAAGGATGGGCTCTTTGTCCCGTTTTGGGCCTTGCAGAGCCGTTTAAGCGCAATCAGTCATGGCCAAAACCGGTGGCCATCGCTGTCTAGACGTGTGGTATCTGATACACGTGATTGCCTTGAGCATGAGAGATATTGTGAGCGTGACGAGGGACGTCGTCTCATGGGGAAGCGAAGCTTGTGAGAAACGATCCACCAAGAACAAGAGGAGAAGGATCAGTTTCTATAGTAACGATAACTATTGTCGTATCACAGAATCCATGAAAACAGGGCAGGTCGTGCCATGTTGTTCCCGCAAAGCGTTAGTACTGTATTGAATAAGGATGAGTCGGTGGCGTCTCAACACACCTATGCATTTTAAGGTTTTAGTGCTTCAGTCAAATAAGGCTTGCGAAGGAACACTGCTGTGCTGCGCCACGATTTCCGAAAGAGAGATGGGAGCGACAGTGCCTTATCGTCACTGAGACTCCTTGCTGTTCAATTGTATTGTCAGGCACACAACTGTTGGGCGGAATCAATGGCTTCAAGGCCGCCTGCGATGTCGAAGCTTTTGGTTTAGTCCTGGACAGACACTTACACCGGAGTATCTTGATGCATGATTGCATGGGGTGCTTTTGTTGCTTTCGACCAGTCCTAGACCAGAGGTGGTGATCTCATTCCTCGCAGATGAATAGCAACTGCAACTCCACAGACCATACTTCGCCGTGGCGGTTTTGGACACAGGAGGTCGTTGAAATAACTATTTCATGGCGGTTTCGGCTCGACTTCGGAGTTTGAGTGGGAAAAAATCGCAAAACAAAAACAATGTGGCTTTTCTTTTGCCGAAAGTTGCCAAATCGACGAAAAATGGGGGACATCCCTAGCGAGGCTCTTAGGCTTTGGGGCCCAAATCTGGGGTTGCGGGGTTCCAAAGGTTCAAATAGTTTTTTTCCTCAGGTGGCGAAAATTCGCCAACAATGGCCAGCAATTGTGCAAGATCCCTATAGGGAGTGAAACACATAACGCTGTGTTTCAGAACTGAGCCCCTGAACTATGCTTAACAAGCTCACGCGTTAGGCTCCCTTTGAACACCTAAATTCCGAGCTGGTGCCAAGGATTAAAGATACCAGCCTCACCATGGAAGGTCGTCCAGCAAATCGATAGAGAGTGTGCTGGATCTACGAGGAGAATTTTCCAGAAGTGATTTATCCACAGAATTCCGAGTCAAAGGGAATTTCTCGCCTGGCCTTCCATGGACAGCCTGTCATCAAAAACTTCAGCTTTATTCATGAGGAGTGTTCCCACATTTCGCAGGGCAGCTTAGCAGGCACACCAAGACGTGCTCGAAGCAAGATCCGTTTCTGCAAGATGAACGGCGAATTATGTACAGACACAGCAACGTCAAATGCAGACTTGCGTAATTTAATTCCAGCCCGAATGGCCCCGAAGTCGCCCCTCTTGAAGTCACCAGGACAGAATGTGCAAGTTCTGCTGAACGGATTCAACAAGGTTCCAGCATAGAACGCCTCCCAAGACAACCAAAAATGACCTCATCTGGCCCAAACCCAGGTTCTGGGCCCAAGAACCTGGGTTTGGGCCATGTTTTGGGAGGGGTTTACACCAAAAGTGACCACATCTGGCCCAAACCCATGTTTCTGGGCCCAGAACCATGGGTTTGGGCCAGATGTGGTCATTTTAGTTTGACCCGTCCTGGTGCCAGCAAAAACCAATTGTTGAAACGGAGCCCCAATGATGCTGATGATGCCGGCCAAAGGGGCCAGCATCATCAGCAGCATTGGGAGCTCGTTTCTCCAATCTGAGGTCTGCCGGTACCCCCTGTGACCTGCAAAAACCGGCGCCCGGGCCCAGATAGGCTCATGATCAACCTTGTCCAACAGATCGACCACTAAGCGACCCAGGGCCGGATGCCGAGGAATTTTCCGGGGGGGGGAGGGCGGTCAAAAAACCGACCAGTGAATTCTGTCGCTGTTGGCCCGAGTGCAAGAGGCCAGCTGGAAAGCCATGGCACTAACTTCGCCAGATGTGAAGCTGAAGGGCACACCGGCGGCCATTGGTTTGTCATATGTCACATCTTTTAAATTTTTCTGCGGGGTTTTAACATTTAGGGCGCCCTGTATCACAAGCATTTCACTAGTTATTGGTTGGCGGCCGT